CCTTTTAAAGAAACTTGAAGCTGCACCCTCTCTTAGTAATACTTTCAATACTTCCCATAGATCCAGACATCAGAGGGCCCTGCCCTGATCCTCTCTACTCCTGGAGTGAAGCATCCACAAGGCCAAAGGTACTTGCCCTTCCAGAACTGGGCCAGGCAGCCAAGACCAGAAGTGCCTTCCAGAAGAGCCTTGAGCCTGCTTCCTGCCAGGGTGTCTTCTCAAGGTACCCCTCTCAAGGGTGGAGCACGGCACAGGGGACACACCTATAGGCCCAAGCAGTGGTCATGCGGTGGCTACTTCGAAGGTATGGATATTTCTTGGACATGCAGGCTGAGTATCCACATGTGAAACCCATCAGAATCCCAGGGTGGAAAGATAGGGTCAGGGGGGCGTTCCCTTGGTCCCTCTTCCTCTGGGCCACAAACGTCAGGCAGGCCTGGATGAACTCCTGTATGTTCGTGTCTTAGAGAAACTACCTCTCACTTTATGTGATATTCCTTTATTCTTTCTGCTTCCTCCTGTCGTCACCACCCCTGGCACCAGCTGTGGCCCTACATGTTAGACTCATACTCAGGATGCCAAGCACATACCAGCCCCAAACATGAGCCTTTCAACCACAAACCCCATCCCTACTCTTATCTGACCCTTGCTGACTACAAGAATACTAATGATGCTCTGAGAATTCCACCACTAACTCTCTGCGAGACTTTGCACGAGTCGCTTTTTTCTGGAGCTATATTTCCTTACCTGCAAAGCGAGAAAGTTGAGCCAACTTATTTCTGAGAAACTTTCAATCCTACGATCTGAGATTCTTTTACTGTTCTGCCATTCAAGATTCTCTTACCAACATTATTTTGTCTGCAGAGAGCCAGAGAGTCTAAAAGACACAGAGGTTATATAAAGTGCCAGAGGACGTTAGTGACAGAGGCAGAAATAGAGGCCAGACATCTGTCATGTTTCAAAGCAAGGCACGGTTTTTCAGCTCTCAGAACAGAGTTGTGCAGAAAATCTGCCGCCTATTGGCAGTCACCTGTCCATCTCTTTGCATGTGTATACGTGGCCTGATGCTGAAGTTCCATTTTAGCAAAAAGCTCTGGGAAAGGAGGATTATCAATTTCATCTCTGAACAGCCTTCTCCCTGACCTCCTTTCTCTCTCCCCGTTCGCAATTCTATCCCTTGTGTCTTGTTTAATAAAAATAAGTTAAAGAATGAGAGATTGTTACTAAGGCAAGTTAGAAATGACATAAAGGGCAAAATGACAGCCACCCTCGCAAAGGCATTACTTGGGTCTTGAATTTAAAAAAAAAAAAAGTGCAGGAATCCGTTGACATTAACAACCTTGCCAATTACTGCTCTGTCCTCTAACCTTCTGTCGGGGGCAAGTGGTTAAGGAAATGACAGCAAAAACAGCTTTAGGAAATGCAAGATTTTATCTCCTTGGCCTTTTCCTTCTTTGGACCCTTCTTGCCTCACGGTTGATAATGTCACATGTCATCAGTGGGACATACCCAGGGCACAGACCAAAAAAAAAAAAAAAAATGCCAAGAATTCCTCCAGGCTTCAGATGATCTCGGGAAGGCACGATAGGGCCCATATACTCATCAGGAGCAAGCCATTCTTTAAGTCTGTAAAAGCTATGGAGCTGGTTACCTGGAACATTTACCCTTGGGGAAGCCCTCGTGGTGCAGTGGAGAGGGTTTGTGCCCAGGGGCAGAAGCTCTGGCAACCTGTGGCCATCCTTACCACCTCTGGCACAGCACACAATTTCGGGCATGCTCAGTGGCAAGGACAGGAGCATGACAGCAGTGCCTGCTCACGTGACAGACACCCATATTCGTCCTGGGGACCTTGGGAAGAGTGAAGTCCAGGAAGATTTTTTAATAAACAGTTCATACAAACAACCATGACTGTATCAGCGTAAGAAAACAGTTTGAGTAATCTGACAGAAATCAAGCAAATGGTTTTTTAACCAGGGTAAAGTAAATATGTGTGATATTTCCCTCTCTGCCCCAAGCAAAAGAGATTAAGTGAAAGAAATGAAGAAAAACAAGCCACAGAAACACTCCAATGTTCAGTCCTTTGATTCGTTCTCTAGATATGGATGGATCTCATTAGTGACTCGTCCTCTTACTGAGTCTTTCTCTGAATTCCGGGGATCCTGTGTCTCGGCTCTAATTGAAACACTACACTCTCGAGAGTTATTGTGATAAAGTCCGACTTCCCCAACTAACTCAGCAAACTGAGACGGAGATGTCGTATTTTGTAAGACTCTAAATTCTTAATAAAATGTATCTACGTAGCTTATGTAAGTACTCCTAAAGGGGACAACAGAGAGAGAACGAGCAAGAGCGCACAAGGATTTCCACCTTCTCGAAAAGACTTCCCGTGGTCAGTGGGGAGCTGATGCGAAGACAGGCAGCAGAGCCAACCAGCGCTAGCGCTGAATTCACTGGATTTGCAGAGCATCGCGAATTTACTGATAGAAGATGGAGCGGATGTGCGCACGCGCGTGCGCATGCGCTCCTCGCCCGCCACCCTTGCCAGTTCCCGCCCCCACTGGGAGAGTGCCTGACACCGCAAGAGTCACAGCTTGCCTCTGAGGCCAGGTCCGTTAACAATCGCATGTTTATTTCCAACTGATTAACCTGGTATTTGGCTTACCCAAATACTCCTAGTGTTAATTCTAGCAGATCGTTCAGTGCTTCTCAAACCATCTTACTCCAAATCAAAAGTGTAATTCATGGCCAGAAGCATTTAGATTTGCAGGCATCTGTCTATCTGTAAGGGATTTTAAGCTGTCTAATGAAGAAGAAATGAGAGCGGGAGTCAAAAATATGAAAAGCCTTACATTCAGATCTTAAATACTCTGCTCTCTACCCCTTCCTCTTACACACAAGGAGAAAATAAATTACCAGCCTTTTGAAGACTGGTAACCAAGTGGGCTCCACATTTTCAACTTTTATCATAACCCAAAGGTATTTAAACATTCAAAAAGATTTCAATTCTGGGCTATAGAGCTTTTCTTCACCAAACTCCTGTGAGTCTAATCCTTAAAAACATTACAATGTGGTTCAAGGGGGAAATGAGGTTGCCTCTGGGTTTACTCTGTTAAGGGATTCAAAGGCAACTTCAGATTTCCATTTCAATCACCGTCCCCCTAATTCCAACTACTTAATAAGTGACGTCTCATTGCTTTTTTAAAGAACTACCCTGAACTGCTTGCATTTCCATTTAATATTAACATTGCAAAATGTGTGCTGTTTTCCTAAATTTATAAACATGTATACTTTCCATAACGATGAAGCTTGTCCAAAAGGTTGTACTTTCTGCTTTGGGTTTATGACGCTTTTCTGAGTCATCTTTAATTACCTGCTGTCTGTCGAAGAACAAGCATTCGCACAGTAAAGCCTGCAAAACAGTGTAAACCTTACATTTCTCTCAGGCTCTTTCAAAACCTGCTGACCAAGCAACAGATCTGTCAGATGCCTGAAACTAGAAAATATTATATATTTTATTTCCTAAAATGTTTCAATGGGTAAACTAAAGATACACACATTTTACTAAAGATTTCAAAAATAGATTGTTGATGAACGAAATGAATGAACATCAGGAAAAAAATCCAGCTGCCTAAACAAGCGACTGAATAAAAAAATCAAACACCAATATCAATACAACTCAGAGAAAACTGAAGAAATTTGCCCAAAAGGATGTACAAAGTAGTCACGATAATGGCAGCCAAGACGAAGAGCTTAAGAAAAATGACTTTAATATATAAAGTGCAGGGTTTCTACAGAAACCTAGAGGTACTGTTTCAGGTTGTCCCAGCAGCCTAGGAATCAGCACAGAATGGGTTAATTAAATTAGTAATTAAATTAGTAGTTAAGAAGTGCTCTTAACTAACTAAACTGCCACGACCAATGAGCTGGCATTCCCAACCTGGGGCTATTCCCTACAGTCACTTGAAAAGGTTGTATCTGAGCAGAACAGAATTACCTTTCACTGGAAGTGCTTTCAACCTTCAGCTCAAGGTCTGAAGAACGGTCTAGGGGTGTGTTAAATTAACATCGAAGGGTCAGAATGGGGAACAGTAACGTGTAACCTACAAACAGGGAAACACTCTTGGGATATGTCAGGAATAAGAAAATCAGTGGAAAGGAATAGAAGATTGTAGGAGACACTCAAGTTACAAAGAAGTTAAGTACACAACAGTTCTCAAGGTGATCATCACGGAAAATAAAACATTGAAATTGACCAGAAGAGAAACTTTTAAAATAGGCCACATGCATTCAAGTATGGCGAGAGATGGCTCACAATCGCAATAATAGGAGAACTGGCTGCAATCACTTTAAAATGATTATCTCCCATCTTTAAGAATCCCTGGGGTTCTAGCTGAAAATAGTTACTCTGATCACTAAATTACAGAAGAGGAATGGATAAGTCTACAAATTACAAGCCTCCCAAGAAGAACCACCTAAGTGACGACCGACATTGTAAATTCCTTGAAGGAAACAAGGCACAGAGATAGAAAATCATACTAAACTTAATGTAGCACAAAATGAAGTTTTTTAAAAAATATCTGTACATAAGGGGAGATTCCTCCCCTGAAGTTCTCAAATACACTCAACAAACACAGAGTTTTTTGTCTTCTTGGAGTGAGTGGCCACTGCACCCACCCAGAGAGGTGGTAGTTTCTTTCAAACCTTTTCCTTCTTTTCCAACCCTTTCCTTCTCTTCCAAGTTGTGATGGGTATACTTTTCTCGTTGCATGTAATGATGACCTTCCAAAGGACACAGGAGTTGACGGCAGTGAGTTGCATTCCAAACTCTGAGCAGTAGCTACAATGTGGGTTTGGGTTCTAGCCCGCATCTAGTGACATGCTGGTCATTAGCACTGACTCGCTGAGAAAAGACAGAACTTGAACACCATGCCCTGCAGATGGTCACAGTCTGCAGGGAACCTGGCAGGGGAACTCATCTGGGGGCCATTAGGAACAGAATGACTGTGTTTTCAAACTGTTTGTCTTAGCTGACTTCACAAAATCTTTTTTTTTTTCAATGTTTTTTTTTATTTATATATGGGACAGACAGAGACAGAGCATGAACGGGGGAGGGGCAGAGAGAGAGGGAGACACAGAATCGGAAACAGGCTCCAGGCTCCGAGCCATCAGCCCAGAGCCTGACACGGGGCTCAAACTCACGGACCGTGAGATCGTGACCTGGCTGAAGCCGGACGCTTAACCGACTGCACCACCCAGGCGCCCCGACTTCACAAAATCTTAAAGTGCAAAAGTGTTCTAGATCCAGAAGGAACCTTCAACATTGGCTGGTTCAAACCTTCATTTTATAAACAAGACTTCCAGCGCCTGGAAGGCCAGGACTGGCTCCTTGCCCTCTCTGACCTGAAGCAGTTGGTTGCCTGTGTGCAGAGAGCTGTTTGCTCTGATCCCTCTCAGGTGACACCAGGTGATCTATGGGGCAGAGAGACAACCATCACCAGTCTGGAATGACATCTATTCTCTTTTTACTTGGACCCACGGACCCATGCCCTGGCTAGCCAGACTTCTCTCCATTGCCTGCCTGGGCACTGGGTTCAAAGCCCCAGTCTCTCCTGGGCTGTCAGTGTTAACCATCTCTCTCCCAGTCCTGCTATATCAAAGGTTGGCCAAAGATGTCAGAACATAGCTGCTGTGTGAATTGGGACCCTCAGCAGCCTCATATGCAAAATGTGCATAAAACGAATATATTGTCCAATATATCTTATAGAGTCACAGTGAACAAAATTAGCATTCTGTAAACACTAGCAATGTTAAAATTAATGTGTGATGATGATTACAGGTCTAAGTAAGAAAGAAAGACGTGATAAATATGAGATTTGAAAGGCACACCTACAGAGCAGTCCCAAACAGTGATGACACTGCTTTAGACACACTGCTACAAGGACACATCAATCTTGATTTGCTACTGTGCCACCAACTCAATGCACCGACTGTCTGGAAGAATACTGCCTGTCTCAGCAACTCCTGGGGAAAGCAAGGCATATGCTTTACAATAAAGAAAGAAAAGTCAGAATCTCCTGAACAGCAGTTCTAGCAACAACAGAGCCACCATTGCCAGAGGATTTCTTTTTTCTTTCTTTCTTTCTTTCTTTCTTTCTTTCTTTCTTTCTTTCTTTCTTTCTTTCTTTCTTTTTTCAGAGAGAGAACGGAAGAGAAGGGCAGAGGGGGGCAGAGAGACCAAATCTTAAGCAGGCTCTGTGCTCAGTGCAGAGCCCTACATGGGGCTCGATCCCATGACCCTGGGATCATGACCTGAGCTGAAATCAAGAGTCGGAAGCTCAACTGACTGAGCCACCCAGGTGCCCCTGCCAAATGATTTCTAATGGATTAGTTCCATACAGCCACTGCTTTTGACAGACCTATCAGGTGACGGACAGAGGCAGAGAAGGAAGAAAAACAAAAACTAGACGGAGAGACTGAAGAACACAGCCACTCAAATGGAGAGAGGCTGGGAGACCTGAGGGGCTCTCCCGAAGCGTCCGCGCTGCCCCACTTTGGGGCCACCTCACGCAACCGCCCCAGCACACAGGGATGCACAGCCACCTCCCTGTACACACTCTAGGGATCCACCATGCTCCTCCTGGAAGGGTGTGGGAGGCTGTTTTCCAATCCAGGCCTTGCTGTTCACTGTGTTTCCTCACTCTGGTAAGAAATGTATCTGAGGGGAAAGTGGGACTATTGATTTTTTTTTTTTCCCACTCAATTGTGAACCGCTGAATTTCACTATGTCAAGTCTGTCTTGAAAGGAACTGTGATATCAGCCTGGGCTGCTCACCGTGGACTGGGCAACAGGGATGTAACCCAGATGCCCGAGCTCCTGAACCATCTGCCACCCTCACTGGAAAGCCCAGAGCGCTACACGACAGGGAGGAGGGAGCAGCCCTGGCTTGCCGCCCACGGCCCGTGCTGCCCAGTCATGCTGACTGAGGTCCCGGGTGCACCAAGGTCCAGCCAGCCGCCCTGCAACCAGGGGTTGAGTTCGTTTCACAGTTTGTGCCAATGGTTTGTAAAACGATGTGACACATTTCTTCCAAATGCACGAGAAACAATTCATCCATGAGCTTCCAGGACACATTTCACGTGAAGCATGAAAAATTCCAGGAGCTGAGGAATGAAGAACTCGACCACAGGCTAATAGGAGCCAGCCACGAGGATCTAAAGAATGTTAGGAAGTACCGTACGCAGCCCTCATGTCTATTGTTATCACTTGTGATTATTCCTACATTGCTTTATAGTTGGCCACATGCTGCTGGCCAGGGTCACAGCCCGACTCTTCCCTGGTGTGCAAGGCACACAGAACTACAAAGGCCGGGGGCTGAGCTAATGGCACTGGAGAGAGATGAGCTATAAGTCGTGACCTTCCTCACTTTATGCCAAACAAACAGATGGAAACTCACACCCCACATACAGGGATGTGGCTCAAGGAAAACCCCAGAACCTGTCACATCCTTCCTCTCTGTGTCCCCATCCTTCTCCCCACCCACACCCCTCACATCCAATCCCATTACCGATAATGGGAATGGAGTCAGTGGAGTCAGAATGAGAAGGGATGGTTAATGTGGACAGAGAATCAAGCTCACTGGATAAAAGACATCCATCTAGACCTCTCCCAGTAAAGGAAATTTACAAGGGAAGACAAGGAGTATGTTTTAAGGGTTGGAATCCCGGGAATAAAGGAATTTCAGATGAACATATCTTTCCGGTGGCCCCTGTCCTTTATACATCCCTGCTCTGTCGGCTTCCACACTGTGGAGTCTCTGATTCCCAGGGCCTTAAAAATGTTCCTTGACCACTGAAGGAAAACCATTTTTGTTGGCTCTATCAAAAGGCAGCTAGGATACCTCTGAGAAGGCAGCTCTTCATTCCATCCTAAGATATTTGATCCAAAACGCAGACAGAAAATTCAGAGGGCCGCTTTGACTTCTATTAGAATGTCCAAATAAAAGCCACTGGGTCTCTGGTCCCCAGCATACAACCTTCTACTTCCAGTCCTTCCCTGACATCCTCCAGATGATTCCCAACAAGCAACGCTCAGAAACGATGGCGCCATGCAAGCACGCAGTCTCCACCAGTGATTTTCTCAGAAATGCCGATTGCTATCCTAGTTCCTTTTCAAGCTGAATGTGTAGTTTATCCAGGAAAGAAGCATATCCTTCCCTTTGAACTTGCACATTACTGAGTTGAGTAAATCAGAAACAGCTTCTTCCTAGACAGCACCCTGGGTTCTGAGCTGGTCTCTATGAAAAATCTTCACCGCTGATGATGATAACAGCTGTGATGTTGAGTGGTCTGTTTCTCCAGATATTTGTAACAATACCAGTCACTACACCTTGTCTTCGTAAGACTTCAAGATTGGCCCATTTCACAGTGTGTCAGCATCTCCCCATCTGGCCTAAGAAGAAACTCTTCTCATAAAAAACAAAGATGTTTGTCAACGAAGCTACTGACGCACGGAAGATCCATTCTTCTGGCTGGGGTTCCTATGAGATATGCCCGCCCCCCCAACCCCACCCAAGTCAACATCTTCTAAAAGAAAGCCAGTATCTCATAGGAAAAACTAAGTTAACAGGATCATGCACGATTAGTTAAAAATACTAGACCAAGCACTCTCCGATCTATGAAGCCATATGACTGCACGCTGGCTCCTTTCAACTTCTCCATTTCTGGGAGTCCATGCTGCAGCCCATCAGCTTGGAAAAGGTGTGACTTCCTTCTTAAATGGAAAGCCCACATAATAACAATGATTTTTCCAGTTAATATTTTTGGCCAGGAACAGCGTGAAGCCTCACCTCCCTAGTGTGGAAGAAAGGAAGCTGATGGGTCAAAACCTGTACCTACACACCCCAGACTGCCCTAAGGCAGGGAGGAGCCTGCCTGTACCTCTGAGTAAATAAAGGAGATGCCAAGGGTCATCCAGATTATGTGATGCCCCAGGGTGGTCACCCTCCAGCAACACAAAACTCCGCTCAGCGCCGGCAGTGCTCTGAGTTCCTGATGAACATCCCAGGCTGAGAACTTGGGCAGAATAACAGACTAGAAATGAGAGGATCCAAGCTAGGGGCCCCGCTCTATCAGCCTACTGTACCATGGGGATCCTTGTCTTACACGAAGAGAAATAACTTCCTTGGAGCTCTGGAAAGAGACTGTCTTTTATTGGTTCGGACGCCACGGCCGCTGTGGATGTATACAAGGTGTCTTAGCAGCTGCATCACCAGGAAAACTTCTGGAGTTTTTGCATCTTCGTCTGTAACATGCCGACAAGGAGGGTGGCCCGCCTGCCAAACCGGGATACTCTGATCACCACGAGTTAGTGTGTGAGAAAGCACGCCCTCTGCATCTCTGTACAGGCCCAGGACACACCCGCAAGGGTGCTGCCCATGAATTCAGCTCAAAACACAGAGGCTTTGTGCCACACTGCAGCGGATTCTAAGTTAAGCACGCCCCAGCTCCGTCCCGCAGAGTCATCAGCTTCCGGGAGAGAAGAGAGGCATATAAGAAAGCTCTGTGCTGTTAAAAGCAAAAGGAGAAATAAGTAGGACACATCTGGATGGCAGGACCAAAAAGGGATCATTTTAAGTCTCACATGTAAATATATGCATGTGTAAAGAGAATAATAAATTCACATGGATATGTCATCTTATGCATTACACATGATACATGCATATAATGTATAATACAATGCACTGTTAATATGTGCATACGGATGTATATGACATACAAAGTATATACTATACATATTATATAGACTTGCACCTATGTATGTGTGTGTGTGTGTGTGTGTGTGTGTGTGGACACATAAAGATGTAGAATGACTTCCACAGGAAGCAGGAGTGGGAAAGATCCTTACAGGCTGAGGCAACAGTATAAGGATACATATGAAGGTGCAGAGGGAGAGCACGTGGCATAGTCAGTGGTCAGTTTCCTTTAGTTGAAATTTGGCAACAATCCAAATCTCTTCTTCTTCTCTGTGGGCATGAGTTAGATTCTGAAGGGAAGTATTAGGGCTGGAAGGGGTCCTGAGCACCTCCCTAGAACAGCATACGGGGCTGGCTTTTCTTGGCTGGATAGGATGTGATATGTGTATAAGAGGGGACCGTTATTCACTGAATAGTCTAAGACACATTGGGACAGGCAGTTTGAAGGCCTTCAGGAGCCTGAAATCCCATAATAAAAATGACAAGTGGAGGGGCACCTGGGTGGCCCAGTCAGTTGAGCTTCCGACTTTGGCTCAGGTCATGATCTCACAGTTCATGAGTTCAAGCTCCACATCGGGCTCGCTGATCCTCTGTTTCCCCCCTCTCTCTGCCCCTCCCCCACTCATGCTCTCTCTTCTTCTCTCTCAAAATTAAATAAATATTTAAAAAATAAGTTTTAAAAAATAAGTTTTAAAAAATGACAAATGCCTGGGTGGCTCAGCCAGTTGAGTGTCTGACTCTTGATTTCAGCTCAGGTCATGATCCCAGGGTCATGGGATCAAGCCCGTGCCAGGCTCTGTGCTGAGCCTGGAGCCTGCTTAAGATTCTCTCTCTCTCTCTCTCTCTCTCTCTCTCTCTCTCTCTCTCTCTCTCCCCCTCTGCCCCCCTCCCCAGTTGCACTTTCTCTATATATATAAAAAAATAAAAAATATTTAAAATATTTAGGAAAAAAAACCGATAAGCGGTAACCATAGTAAACTGCTATAAGAGCTTTATATGTGTTAGCAGCTGGTCCACATAACAGCCCTGTAACATAGGCGTTATTATTATCATCCCCTCCCCCAAATAATAAAGGATTCTAGCTGCCACGTGGCTGAGTGAGGATAATCAGATGGCGGAGTCCATGTTCTCAGCCACGACAGGCGGTTAGTTTTATGAAGCACTGTCTTCGGCAAACCAACAAAGCAGAACACGAATCTCCCCCCTTGCTCGACACCCACAGCACTTGCAGACCTCACTACCCAGCTGCATACTCATCTGGGCACTCCTTGGCTTTTTATCTAAACCACGTGGATGTGCGAGTTCTGTCTTTCACCAAAATAGGAACATGACATTGAAGTATAAGACAGTGAAGTGCCTCTTGTGGGCACTGCACAATACAGAATACAGGCAAGATTCTCACTCCACAGGAAACAGATAGGAAACTCGGCTGAGAAGGAACAGACAGCAGCTTAAGTATCAATTTTGCCTCTTATTGGGACTTCCGGCAAATTGCTAACCTTGAACTTTGTTTTCCTCATCTATAAAGTAAATATGATAATAGAAGCAACTCATAAAGCTTAGCACGATGCCTGGCAAAGAGTAAGCGCTCAATAAATGCTAGCTATTATTAACAACCATGCGTTCTTCCTGACGGAAACACTGTCATTGACTGAGTTTCCCCCTCTTAACGGCTCACCGTCCCCCCCCACCGCCCTCAGGGAGAGTATAGTTCACCTCTCTTCAGATGATTGTCCTCAGCCAAGACTGGCATCAGAATCTCCAACAGACCTCAAAGGGAGAGAAGATGCCCCTGGGGATAACTCAGTACACAGTAGAATGGGAAGGAATATGGGCATTTAGTAGGTTGGGTTGCTGGCCAGGTTGTAAAATACCTCGGAATACTCAGGTCTGCCCCACACAATGAAGAGTTCTCCTGTTCAAAATAATGATAGTGCTTCTGCTGAAAAACTACAGCCCTGCTCAGAAAATTCTTGTGTATGAGGGACAGCAGGCAGCATCAATCCCATAAACAGGTCAAGGAGGCGAGTGATCCGAAGTCAGTTAGGAAATCAATACCTCCTTACGGCGTCAGGTGGTTCTGCATGGAGGGGAATCTGGTTGGCTAAGGCCAGGGTGTCGTGCAAGGCCTTGCTGACCTCCTGCAGCTCGCCCAGGGACAGCCTGCCCACCAGGGCGGCCAGGTCGCAGCCCTGCCACGGGAGCAGCCGCTCTTGTTCTTCTATTTCCCTTCTCAGTTGCTCATCTTTTGATTCCAGCACAGACATTCTTGCTTGGAGAGCTTCGATTTCTTTCTGTAGAAAGCGGAGAAACCAGATTTTATAAGTTAACCCTGCTCGTGGCAAACCGCTCTGCTGGTAATGAGTCCGTCAAATGAAAGTCAGCCATATGCATGAGAGCCGTGAAGCTCCCCTTCTGAGCCGGGCAGATTTTTGGAGGTTTGCTGAAGTGGAAAAATCACGCCAGCTTTGTATTTCTGATTAGTTGGCATAAGGAAAAACATTCTCTCCCAAGTATTAAATAACTATGGGGGGTGAGCCAGGAATTTGACTTGGAAGAACCAAGCAGATACATAAATGACTTACTTCCTTTCGGGCAGAAGAGCTACATCACAGAGCAGCAAACATCATGTGCTTGAGGTACGAACTAAGCAGGTAACACAGGTCACAGACCGAAAAAGAAAAGCAGACAGTCCTTGGTCGGTCTGTCCCCAACCATGAAAAGTTAGTGTGTAGAGAAAGATTAAAAATCACAATTTCCTGGGACGCCAGGGTGGCCCAGTCGGTTGAGCTTCCGACTTCGGCTCAGGTCGTGATCTCGCAGTCGGTGAGTTCAAGCCCCGCGTTGGGCTCTATGCTGACAGCTCAGAGCCTGGAGGCTGCTTCGGATTCTGTGTCTCCCTCTCTCTCTGTCCCTCCCCCACTCACGCTCTCTCTCTGTTTCTCAAAAATGAATAAATGTTAAAAAAAAAATTTTTTTTTTAAATCACAATTTCCTAAGTCTACAAGATTGAAAGAGCAAAGGGATGCTGCAGATAGTTTGATGCAGTCTAAGGTTCATAAAAAATATTAAGTAAATTTAATTTCCACTAATATAGCAAACCAAAATCCAAAGAATCTATAGAGTATCATCCACTCTTGAGGTCAAAGAAGAAAACAAGCAGCAGGCAACTGAACACACATTGTGTGCACGGTGTTAGAGCACATAATCATCTCACAGCGCACAGTGTTCTGAATTTAAAATGAGGCTCTTTCCGTCACCACCCTCCCATGATGTGTGCATGGGTTTCTGGCTGATAAGAGCAGAGCGCTAATCCTGGGCGCCTCCCCAGCTCTTATCCACGTTGTCTTAAACCCAAGGTACAGATCACCTACAACTGCAACCTCCTGACCCCACTTCCAGTAGGGGGTGGGGGATAGACTCTGAGGCGGAGCTGAAGATCCACCCCTAAGACACGCTAAGAAGAAGACAATGTGTGTCTCCATTGGTCCAACACTACAGTATTATTGCCATTGTTTCACAGTTAAACTCCCCAACTCCGCCTCTGCCCAAACCCTGTTCCTTTCTTTCTTTCTTTCTTCTTTTTAAACTGTGGTAAATACATGTAACATAAAATTCACCACCTTAATCATCTCGTTAAGATTTTTTTTTGAAGTTTATTTATTTATTTTGAGGGAGAGAGTGGGGGAGAGACAGGGTGAGTAGGGGAGGGGCAGAGAGAGAGGGAGAAAGAGAATCCCAAGCAGGCTCTGCACTGTCCACATGGAGCCCAATGCAGGGCTCGAACCCACAAAACCGTGAGATCATGACCTGAGCCAAAATTCCAGGCACCCCATCTTAACCACTTTTAATGCCAGTTCCGTGGTACTGAGTACATTCACACTGCTCTGTGACGACTGCCGCTGTCTGTCCAAGAGCTCGTTTTATCTTATAAACCAGAACTCTGTCCCCATTAAACTCCAGCTCCCCATTACCCTGCCTTCCCCCAACCCTTGGCAACCACCCTTCTACTTTCTGTGTCTATGAATCTCTAGAAACCTCATAGAAGTAGAATCAGAGTATTTGTCCTTTTGCTTATTTTGCTTAGCATCATGTCCTCAAGGTTCATCCAAGTTGCACCATGTGTCAGAATTTCCTTCCTTTTTAAGTCTGTACAATAGTCCATTGTGTGGATGTACCACATTTGATTTATCCATTCATCTACAGAGGGACACCTTTTGGCTATCGTGAATAACGCTGCTATGGACATCTCTTTGAGGCCCTGATTTCAATTCCTTTGGGCATCTACCCAGAAGTAGAATTGCTTCATTGTGTGGTAATTCTATTTTTTTTTTTTGATGTTTATTTATTTATTTTGAGAAAGAGCACCAGCAGGGAAGAGGCACACAAAGGGAGGTGGGGGGGTGGGGGGGGGAGAGAGGATCCCAAGCAGGCTCCAGGCTCAGTGTGGAGTCCTATGTGGGGCTCGATCCCCTGACCACAGCATCACGACCTGAGCAGATATCAAGAGTCAAACACTCAAAAGACTGAGCCACCCAGGTGCCATAGTAATTCTATTTTTAATGCTCTGAAGACTCACTGTGCTTTTTCACAGTGGCCCTATGCCCTATTCTTTGTTTCTTAATTTATTTTTTAAAATTTGCATCCAAGTTAGTTACCATATAGTGCAATAATGATTTTAGGAGTAGAATCCAGTGATTCATCCCCTATGTATAACACCCAGTGCTCACCCCAGCAAGTGTCCTCCTTAATGCCCATCACCCATTTAGCCCATCTCCATATCCAAAACCCCTCCAGCAACCCTCAGTTCTCTGTATTTAGGAGTCTCTTATGTTTCGCCCCCTCCCTGTTTTTATATTATTTTTCCCTCCCTTCCCCTATCTTCATCTGGCTTGTATCTTAAATTCCATGAGTGAAGTCATATTATATTTGTCTTTCTTTGACTAATTTCACTTAGCATAATACACTCCAGTTCCATCCATGCTGTTGAAAATGGCAAGATTTCATTTTTTTTGACTGCTGAGTAATACTCCATTGTGTGTGTGTACACACACACACACACACACACACACCACATCTTCTTTATCCATTCATCCATCGATTGACACATAGGCTCTTTCCATACTTGGGTTACTGTTGATAGTGCTCCTATAACCATTGGGGTGCGTGTGCCCCTTAGAAACAGCACACCTGTATCCCTTGGGTAAGTACCTAGTAGAGCAGTTGCTGGGTTGTAGGGTAGTTCTATCTTTAATTTTTTGAGGAACCCCCATACTGTTTTCCAGAATGGCTTCACCAGTTTGCATTCCCACCAGCAGTGCAAACGGCCCACACCCTATTCTTAACACAGAAGTCAAAGTGATTCTTTAAAATGGGATCAGATTATGTCACTTCACTGCTTAGAACCCTCCAATGGCTCCACATTCCAGTCAGAAAGAAGCTCAAGTGATTACAAAGGTGTGCAAGGCCCTGCAAGATCCCTTTTCTCCCTGACCTTCTCCTCCACCATTCTATCCTAGCCTGGCCTCCTGGCTGCCCTTTGCATACAGTTGGCACATCCACACTGCAGGCTTCACATGGCTGTTCCCTCTGCTTTAATCTCACTGTTCAATGAGTTGACCTTAGCCTACGCATGATAGCTCTTACCACCCTACAACAGGGTAAGTAGATAATTTAGGTATTTATTATGTTTGCCATTTCTTATGTATCTCCCCACGCCCATCCCTACTAGAACATCAACTTCACCCTAAGCATTCAATCCTAAGCATTTCAAACAGTATCTGGCACAGAGGAGGCATTCAAATACCTGCTGAATGAATATCCACCTCTCCCCCAGAGTTCTGCCAAGAACATTCCCTTCAAACACTAAGTACCCCGAGCTAAAATTATTTTCTGTACACTCTGACATCAGCAGGAATTATGTAGACCGTTAACTGATACATATTCTTCAAAACCAAAAACAAGATTTCACATTTTCACCCGAACTTTTGTGGTAATGCTCATTGAATATATAAGCATTCAGTTTATTGGAGAATATTTTCAAATTGTGATGACTTTTGCTTCCCTTTGCCACCTTGCTATTTTGGGGATCTGGGTGGGCAAACTCAGATAACAAGAATACCCTGCATGAGGGAGTGGGGATGGGAGGAGGGCGGTCCAGTAACTTGTCCAAGCCCCATAAACTGATCTAAATTCATTCTGTTATTTAGAGCCTAAACCAAGATTAATTCTCGGGTATTAAAGACCCATGCTCTTTCTGGAAGTCCAGATGCCTTCAATGGATGCTTCCTTCTTGTTCCCCATTCCTGCCTCAAAGCCTCCAGGTTCCAGCAGTTGTGGACCCAGCTTTAAGGTGGGGGTAGAGGAGCTTTCAGCCTCCTGATTGTCTCTTGCCTTTAAGTCAGTGCTGCTCCAAGACTTCTAGCCCCTGGCCAACTGCTCTGGGCCAACCTGGGCATGCAATGCCCGCCAGCTTTTCCCAGACATGCCAGCCTGCCCAGTCCCTACTTATAACTCTGCCCTCTAACACCTGCTCCTTAGTGTCCTAACTGGATACGATTTTCCATAAAGGATTTTCATAGCATGGATTTCTTCCTGCTTTTCAAAAGAACCTCGTAAAGGTCAAAATGATAAGAGGTGACAAATTGGCCTGGCAGACAAGGAAAGCGTATTCAAAAGGTAATGAGGAATATCGAAAACAGGCACAAACACCACTGAGCTTTCAAACCCCTAGTAGGTAATGAGATTCCTACAAGCCCTCCAGCCATCTCCACCCATCTCTCCCTTTTGTACTTCACGGGTGGACGGCCAAAGCTCTAATTGCTACATTCAAGCAAAGCAAAGATCCGCCCTGCCCCATGTGGCTTAAATGGGTAAGAAAAATGCTGGCCTATTTCCTGAAGATTCTTCTTCACCTGCTTACCTGCAGCTGCTGCTTTTCTTGAAGAAGCCAGTCTCGTCTGGTGATGGACACACGCAGGGCGTCCTGGGCAGTGGGTTCGAACCGCTTTGGCTCCATTCTGAGCAGGGCTTGGGCGCCGTCACTGCTGGCCCTTAAAGTAAAACATGCATATTGGTACAGAGGTAGAGAAGCTGAAATCCCCAGATCTACAAAATGTTGAGAGAAAGAAATTTCAGGGGCACCTGGGTGGCTCAGTCAGTTGAGCGTCCGACTCTTGATTTCGGCTCAGGTCATGATCCCAGGGTCATGGGATCAAGCCCTGCGTCGGGCTCTGCACTCAGGGTGTAGCCTGCTTAGGATTCTCTCTCTCTCGCTCTCTCTCTCCCCACCCCGCCTCCCCTGCTCATGCTCTCTCTTTCTCTCACTCTAAAATTTAAAAAAAAAAAGAGAGAGAGAGAAATTTCACCAAGTGGCCACCAGCTGTTCTCACACTTAGGCAGGTCATAGGGGTGATGTCCCTAATGTAAGTTTCTGTTTTAATTACAATCTGTTGGGGCTTTTGCTTTTTCACCCATAGCCAGACTGTTTTACACCTGCATCGTCCAGTACCATGGCCCCTAGTCCCGTGTGCTATGTGCTGAAATTGTAAAATACGCCCCCAGATATTTTTGTTTTTTAATTAGGCTCCATGTCCAACATGGGGCTCAAACGCAAGACCTTGACAAAATCAAGAGTTGCAGGCTCTACCGACTGAACCAGACAGGCACCCCCACGCCAGATTTTAAAGACTTAAAGTGGGCAAAAATATCACAATATTTTTTGTGTGTTACAGGTTGGAATGCTAATATTTTCAATGTATTGGGTTGCATTAAATATTTTGTAAAATTAATTTCACCTGTTTCTTCCTCTATTTAGTGTGGCTACTGGATAATCTGAAATCGTGCCTGTGGTTTGCATTATGTTTTATTGGACAGCACTGACTTGATCGTCCAGAGCCAAATTCCAGGCTGTGGAGATTAAGAAGAGGTATGACTGGTTTGCAGATGCCTGGGTCAGAGCTTCTCAAAAAGGTTTGCTAAAAGACTGTCAAAACCCACTTAAAATCTGGCTCTGTGTCTTTTTCCTGCAGGAGTTGACACATTTGGTCAAAGCTGGGGGAAATGCAGCATAGGTTTGAGCTCATGCTGGTGAGTTGCCTTTGTAAGGGTCTTGCGGGCATTTGTCCTTAAAGGATGACAAATCCGTCCTTAAAGTATTCAATTTCTGGCTCAATGCAGTTGGACAGAAAAATATATATATACCCTAAGTGAAAACCCATGTCAACCATTCAAGGAGGCTACGGTCTAGGAAAACACCACCAACTACAATTAAAAGGCAAACAACAAGCTGGGGAAAATATTGCCAGTCGGGAATCAGAAAAGGGAAAAATATTGCTAATTTCAAGAGTTCTATCAAACCAAGAAGAATAAAGACGAACACGTCAATCAGAAATTCAAACAAAGGAATTACAAAGAGTCAAGGAAAATGTTTACCATCAAAAATACTTTTCAGTGCAAATTCACACAACATAAAATATCATTTTTCACCTAACTGGCAAAGGTTTCCAGGAACCATGATTGTTTGGTGAGGGAAGGGAATAAGAATTTAGCATAAAATATAACTTGGATCCTATATTCCCACTCCTAAGAATTCATCATATGTAAATGATCACAGATGTGCACAAAGATTGACTGCAAAAATACATTTTTTAACAGCCCAAAACTGAACACACACAATTGTACCACAAACAAGGACCAGAGCAGTCAACAATGGCAGTCACTCTGTGCAGCCACTAAAATTAGGTCACCAAAGAAGATGTAACCCCACGGAAAATGATCGCTTTTTTCAAAGCAGCTATTATGATAATATGTATAATATGAAACAACTATTGTAAGAAAAAAAAAACACATGTATATAAAAGATAAGAAAAATATCCACCAAAATGTTATCAGCTCTCACCTCTGAGTGGTGGAATTTCTTCTTTTGGCCCATCTTTGATTTTCTAAGTTTTCTCTAGTAAACGTATGTTATTTTTAACACCATAATGGAAATGTTTTCTACCACATACACTAAGTAGCTATACTGTTTACTTAAATATTTTAACATAGCCAACCTGTCTGTTGTAGCCCTTGGGCAAAACAGACATGTCTGTGTTTGAAATCAATCATATTTCATACATTAATGATCAAGGGTGTCATCCCCTGTGGGAAAGCAGGTATCGATACCTTCAGACAGTCAAAGGCATAAAGTACACCTGTCCCCTCCCTCGGGATCTCCTTCCAGAGAGCTGTACCTAGCCTGCACATGCATACCGACTTCAGGATTCAGCAAGTAGGAGCACAAAGCTGCATGTTCTCATCTGTGCATGCACACAGGGTCTCAGTCCCTCCACGTTTCTCGGAAAGAAAACAACTCATTGTTCTTAGATTCCATTTATGAATGGAATTACATGGTTTTGTCTTTCTTAGTCTAGTTTATTTCCCTTATTTCACTTAGCATAATACCCTCTAGGTCCATCCATTGTCCCAAATGGCACAGTGTCGTTCTTTTTTATGGCTGTATAATATTCCACCATGTATATGCACATGCACATGTGCCACGTTTTCCTTATCCATTTGTCTCCTGATGGACTCTGAGGTTGCTTCCATGTCTTAGCCACTGTAAATAATGCTGCAATAAACAGAGGGATGCATGTATCTTTTTAAATTAGTATTTTCATCTTCTCTGGGTAAATATTCAATGAATAGACAAAAGCCAGAATACGACCTATGAATACAGAGAACAAACTGATGGTTGCCAAAAGGTTGGGAGTGGGGGGTTGGGTGAAATGGGTGATAAGGAGATACAGGCTTCCAGTTCCGGAATGAGTAAGTCACCGGAATAAAAGGCACAGCCTAAGGAACAGAGTCAATGATATTGTCACAGCCATGGAACAAGACACATGGTAGCTACACTTGTGGTGAACACAGCATACAGTATAAACTTGTCAAATCACTAAGTTGCATACCTGAACTAATGTAACAGTGTGTGTCAGCTATATTCAAAAAGGAAGGAAGGAAGGAAGGAAAGAAGGAAGGAAGGAAGGAAGGAAGGAAGGAAGGAAGGAAGGAAGGGGAAGGGGGAGGGAGGAGGAAGAAAGGAAGGCAGGGAGAGAGGAGAAAATGAGTAACTGATCCTAACGTGTTTGTTCTTTGTTCATCTCCTTTCACTCTTACCCCATTTCGTTCAAACATCCTGAAAAAGCAAACGCCATCAAGCTCACCCACTATGTGCCATGGACTGTGCTGGGTGCTAGGGACCCAGCAGTAAAGAAGACTTGGTTCCTGCCCAGAGCAGGGGAGACACACACCGAAAGGAAAATATAAGGCAACGGACAAATGCTCAACCCAGGTCTCAAGCTTATTACTCTAGGAGTTGAAAGATGGAAGTGAGTCTTCCACTTCCTCAATCTTAACGTGGCATTTACAAATGAGGGAGCCAACCAAGCACTGCAGCCCTGATATTTTTGGAAACAATGGTAGAAAATAAGTCACCTCAGCTTTTCTAAGTTGTGAAACAGAAGCTACAGAAAAGGGAACCCTCCTCGTATTCCTGGGCCTGACACAGATTCACATTCTCTGAATAATCTCAAAAACTGCTTATTGTAACAGACCACGCAATTTAGAAATTTATTTTAAGACCTGTTACTCTCTGATTCATGTGCTTGAAGGCAAATTATAGGAGTCGTTGTAATAAAAATGCTTAGGCTGATCATAATAAAATAAACTAGTATGAGTTGAGAATTTTCTGTGCACCAGACACTATCATTTTTGTCACACTCACTTCTCCTTACAGACCTAAGAGGAAGTATTATTATTAGAGTTTTGCCACTGAGGAAGCAGGTGTCGGGGCATTCAGTGACTTGCTCTCGGTCACAATGAGAACCAACAGCAGAGTCCAGGGGTCAGGGGTGCATCCGGCTGATCCCCCCCTTCCCAGTCCTTTCCTGGACAACCTGATGCCATTTAGGCTCTCGGCAAGATTTTAAACTTCTGTTTCCTCCTGGCTTCTAATCACACGCCACCCACACCCACAGATTAAGTCCCCTTGCTTGCTCCCCAGCAGGCCCAGCTGAGAACGAAAGGGAGGTCTCAGCATGGGGAGGAAGGTGAGCTTTGAGCCCTAGTTCTGCCTTTTTCTAGCCGTGAGTCCTTGGATTCATTAAAGCTCTCTGAACCTCACCTTCCTCGTTTTTAAAATGAGGAAGGTGGTGAGGATGATGATGCCTTCCCCATATGGTTGATTACGAGGGTCCTAATCAGTTTATTCAACAAATGAACGCCGTGCACCTACTGGGCGCAGGCCCCACCCTCGCGCCAGGTAGGAAGAAGGAGGCAGAACCCCTCTGCCCTCAGAGAGCTTTGCTGTTTGCCGTCCCTCGTGTGTCGTGTTTGCATCGGGAAAATGACCTCTGGATGCATGTCCAGTGGGCACATGGTCCTACACAGTGAAGATTACAGACGAAATGTCCCCGAGGATCTTTACACGTATCAGAAGAGGAAGTCTCTGGAACAAAACCATCACCAACTACTGACGTCCGTGGGAATGGGACGTGCTTCCCCCTCTGGGCTCCAGAGTCTTGGCCTGTCTCGCAGCCACGTGCTCCAGACTGACAGCCTCAGGAGGGGAAAGAACTCACCTCATCTTGTGCTCTGCACTGAGTAGGGGCTTAGCAAATATTTGTTCAATGATCTCATGAGTCCGTGGCCTTAGGAAATCTAGAAGTCGTTTATATTCAGCTCTCTATTTCATTGGATCATTTCTTTGCACTAGTTTATTTCCCAATTTGCTCTGCTTATGCAAATATTAAGAGTTTCCTGAATTTCCTAAATAGATACCATCTGGGTCGGGCTGGGAGTTATTGAAGGAAATCAACATAGAATTGAAAATTAGCTACAGAGACGCTACAGGTGTGTAACTGGGAATTCTCCATATTATTGTTAATCACATTCATTACTAAAGCCATAAGAAAAGCCCCTGTGATTAACCAAAACTCATCTCCCTGTCTCGCACTCTTTGACTCTGAGTATAGAAAGCCATCCATAGATGGCTGAGTGGCGGCCCCAGGACACGCTGTGGCTCAGTAATGAAGCCAGGGACAGGTGTCTGTTGTTCAGATGTTCAGTCCTCTGAGCCAGGCTCCCTCTTCCTTCTACCGTGTTGTTGCCTTTATATTTAATAATTCTCAATGTGTAATCCCTAATGTCAGTGCAAATTAGCATTGCTGCCATAAACTAATCAGTATGTAAAATGAGCAAGTCCCTGAGGGGCAAGAATTAAAAACACGAGGGTTGGAATGTTAGAACAGCCCTGGGTGCCAACAGAGACTCGGTGTCTCTAAGACGCTACCCTCCGCTGCCGGGTTTCAAACAGGCCCCCATCTGGGGCTGCCCAGTGCTGGAAAAACCCTGGCCTTTCTCCTTGTGTCTTTTCCACTAGCCAGTTAAAGGATAAACCCATTTGGAAAATAAGGTCCTACGCCACTGAGAGCAGTAAGAACATTTCTCTTCCCAGTGACCCCACGCACCATGTGGCTTTTGTGAGTGTGTAGTTCAACAGTACTGAGGAAGGAATGAACCCTCTGGGGGTTGACGCCTCTGGAATCACGTGGTTAAGTGTGTGCCTGAGATGAACACCCATCACTACCTCCTCCCTAGCCAGCACCCGAGGCCCCAGAGCTCTCCCGCACCCTCCTTTTGCTCTGATGGTTGCCTGCAGAAGTATGTAGAGTGGGAATGTTACAGGGCAGGAGAGAGGCCAGACAATGCACCTGCTAGGACATCCCATGCCATAAGGGCTCACGGCAATGGCTATGGTTTACAGAGTTGTGTATGTAACACAGAAGGTCCCTTTCCCAGACAGAAATGTGTCTTCACGGTGCTAAAAGTATTGCTGTTTTGTGCCACTTCTGGAATCAAAGAATTTTAGTCAAGGAAAAAACCAACATTTACCAAGGCCAGTGCTCTCATTATTACAGTTGGGAAAACCTCAGTTCAGATGACTATTTCTCACAGCCCCTCTGAATACCTTTGCTCATTGCTGTCCCCCATGGATGACCATTCTAACAAATTCATGTCATGTGACTTCCGTGTTTCCATCCCTCCCTCTTTGGGAAGATGGTGAGAAAGAAGTGGTTTGCGCCAGCCATATAATCACTGAAGTGTGGTTTAAATCTAGACATCGCTGGGGTGCCTGGGTGGCTCAGTCAGTTAAGCATCCGACTTTAGCTGGGGTCATGATTTCACGGTTTGTGGGTTTGAGCCCCGTGTCAGGCTCTGTGCTGACAGCTCAGAGCCTGGAGCCTGCTTCGGATTCTGTGTCCCCCTCTCTCTCTCTCTGCTCCCCCACCTCCACTCGTACTCTGTCTCTCTCTCAAAAATAAACATTAAAAAATAAAAATAAAAAATCTAGACATCGCTTCCTCAGCCAATGAAATATTGAAAATTATCAAGGCCACTGTGAAAGCACAAATACCATAAAAATGCAGATAACTTTACAGTTCTGCCTTTATATATATGTAGTTCTATCTATCTACGGTACATAGATAGATCTACATATAGATATGAATCTGACTTGTATCTAAAAAGTAAGCAGAATAGGGGTACCTGGGTGGCTCAGTCAGTAAGCGTCTGACTTCAGCTCAGGTCATGATCTCACGGATCGTGGGTTCAAGCCCCGCCATCGGGCTCTGTGCTGACAGCTCGGAGCCTGGAGCCTGCTTCAGGTTGTGTGTGTGGTCTCTCTCTCTCTCTCTCTCTCTGCCCCTCCCCCACTTGTGCGTGCGCTCTCTCTCTCTCTCTCTCTCAAAACTAAATATTTTTTTAAAGTTTTTAAATAAATGAAGAGTCAGAATAGGAGACGAAACATCGTTGTCTTCTATAGTCCTATCCCACTCAGAGAAATGACTACACTGCAAGGGGGCACACGGATATTTATGTGGGTTTGTGACAGCTATGCCCGATACAAATGGCTCCAGGACAGGCTTCAGTTGAATGGGAGCAAAGAGGATGGCATGGGAGACGTTTATTTGGAAGATTTTATTTAGAATCCACTAATTCAAAAACAAACTCGGAGGAGTCCTCTGCGGCACACCGCACGTGCTCTTCTCCACTTTTCCTTCCCTCCCATCTCCAGGCGGTGACAAGGGGTCGGCGGTGGGTCTCCATTAGCCATACTGATGCCAGTCTGGTGCCTCACCTTGAGCCCCGATTCAGGCTTCAGAAACATGCCCTGGTGTGTCTGGATAATGATGGCCATTGTTACGTGGTACCGTAATGTAGCCATCCCATTTTGCACCTCTGGTAAAACGTGTCTGTAACAGTCATTTTCTCATCTTACGGAGCCCACTGTCATGGATTTCCATGGTGGGGTGGTCCCAACGTGACAATTAAATGAAAATAAAGAATCACACGTTTCGAAGGGACTAGAGGAAGAACTGGTCGGCGGAAAAATGACTCAGCCCAGAAGCATCATGGACTACACGATACTCATCTCTCCTGTTCCCCACCTGAAAGGAAGTATGTGAGCAGGAAATATTTGGACAGGCTAACCGGAGGAGCTCCGCCTTGATAAGCCCCATCGGAAAACCATTGTATATCTCTGTTTTTAAACTTGTTGTATTTTATCCGCTTGTGTTTTAAGTTATCCGTCGGGAAACAGTCTTTGATAAAGGACATTTTGCACACACGCACACAATTTAGGCTGTAGATATGACCAAGTTTAAAGTACATATTGCTGAAGGTCCAAGGGGAAAATACACAGGAGGCATACAGTCCAGGAAATACAGGACGTTAATGAGAAAATTATCAGTCGCAGGTGTGATAGTCAACCAAAGCCCTCTCTTAACAGAAAGTAAAAAATAACTCTTTTGACTAGAGGACAGATACAGTAGGAATAGATGCCCCTCTGTCCCCTTCTGATCGCTGCTGTCACAGGATATTGAAATGTAATTTTCTGATTGCTCCAGAATCAGAAGCTAGAGCTGAAACGCAGGCCCAAATGCTCTCCATTCGAAACTGCTCTAACAGCGGGGTACGGTGCCCCACGCCAGGCACTGCACAAGCAATACTACCACAGCCAACCACCACTCAACACACACACCCACTGGCCATGTAGGAAATGGAGCTTTCATGAGACATGCTTCTCCTTCCCCGTTCCACAGCCCCACAGGGGGGTGAGGAGGGAAGAAACGCTCCCACTCAATCCAAACAAAGGCAAGAACATCCACCAGACCCACTCACAAAGACCGGGGGTGGGGGGGGGCCTGTAAGCAGGAACACCTGATTCTCCGGCATGGACATCTGTCTAAGTTGGGGTTCTCTTAACAGAAAGTCTGAGACAAGAATCTGAGTTTGGGCTATTTTCTGGAGAAGTGATTCCCAAGAAACTAAGAGTGAGGAAGCGAGAAGCAGGAAAAGTCAACCAACGGTATGTTACTGAGCTGATCACCACAGGGACAACTGGGGCCCAATCCTACCAGGAACCGCCTGGAAAAACGTGTGGAATGTGCTTCAGAATTGTCGCCCCAGAGGCTGGGGAGGGTGGCACACCTATCCACCAACTCCCACCCCAGTGCTTGACAGCTGCCCTCAGGGGCATTCATTACCTACTCCCCATCCTCACAAGCTTCAGAGCACGTCGTGCGGCACACAAACCTGTTGGGAGCAGGTGGACAGAACTGTCCAGAGCTGGAACGGAAATCGGGAGGGAGGCCAAGAGATCGAGATACAGGACATCAAATGTC